ATAAACAAAAAGGCAAGAAAAGAAAGGCAAATCCCGAGAAATGGAAAAAGAACGTTGCGAAACGATGTAGGAATTCTGGCTTGGAATATACATCAAGTTCAAGGCGTAAAACAATTTTTAAAGCTAAAAGTTTAAGACCGCCGTGCAGTTCAACATGCAGACTGCAGTGTAGTGCCAAAATCACAGAGGAAAACTGAAAGGCAATATTTTGGACTTTGGGTGATTTACAAAGGCAACGTGATTTTATTTTGAAAAGTGTTGAAGAGATTAATCCTAAATATCAATATAAAGGAGTACAGAGTAATCAAACAAACAACCATGCAAAATGTAGGGTCCGCAATTTTTTTTTCAAATTCACATTAGCGATAACGGACAGGCCAATCACAACTGTATTTAAGGGGCAGACATTTACTACTAAGGAAATGATAACTTCAGATCAGCGAGGAAAACATAATAATCATTTCCAAATTGACAACGATGAGAAAAATAGTATTCGAAGCCATAAATTCGATTCCGCGTATGGAAGGATTCTAGCCTAGAATACATCGAAGCCTCATGTAAAGAAAAAGAAAAAGATAAAGGAAACAATTTAGACAGTGTTGTCGTTGCAGTGTATGATTTACAAGCAGTTCTTCAATGTCCCAGACGAGACGTGTCCAGTTTCTACTACGTTTCCAAATTAAACGTCTTTAACTTCACTGTTTATGAACTGAAGTCAAAGGCAGTGAATTGTTTTATGTGGCACGAGTCTGAAGCTAATAGAGGTGTTTGCGAAATCGGAACATGCGTTTTGAATTATTTGGAATCTCTAAAAGATAGAGCTAATACCAAGAAGTTGGATGTGATATTTTATTCGGATAACTGTTCTGGTCAGCAGAAGAATCAGTTTTTGTTTGCAATGTATCTTTATGCTGTTAGAAAATACGATCATATAAATTCAATAGCGCACAATTTTTTAATAAAAGGGCAAACGCAGAACGAAGATGATAGCGTTCACTCTGTTATTGAGCGTCAAATAAAATGTGCCTTAAAATCAGGACCAATTTTTATTCCGGAACAGTACGTAACCTTAATTCGTATATGGCTAAAACTACAGGACAACCGTACAAAGTTGATGAGTTAAGTCATGAGAATTTTCTCAATATAAAGAATTTTAAATCTACCATTCGAATCAATTGTTCAAAAAACATAGACAATGAGTCAATTAAGATATTTAACATTAAAATCATAAAGCTGAAAAAGAACAACCAGATAAACTGTTCTACAAAACGTGTTATGGTGAAGAGCAATTTCATATCATTCAAGTAAAGCAACCAAAAAAGTCAAGTAACAGAAGAAGATCAGAAAATACCGTTAGTGACACTGTCGTAGAATTGACGAGATTGTGTAACACCAAACCTGGATTAAGTGAAAAAAAAGAAGAGTATTGTAATGTTTTTCCAAATGGACCGCAAATAGTCCCTCTTCTTTTGAAAAGAATTATTTTAATGAAAACAACATTACTAAATTTTATAATAATTTGTTTTTTTATTAAATTGAAAAAAATTTAAATATTTTAACAGAATTGTCGAATTATCTCAGGGTTAAAGGGCAGGTTCTGGTAATACTGTCAAGACAAACATGTGCACAACTTAAGGTGCAATCAAATTGAGATGTTGTCGACAAAATTAACAAAATATACTGATTATATAAACAAATATTCTAAATTAGTTGATTCGAAGTAATATTTATCAACTCAGATATGTTATGGTCTTAAACAACTCGTCAAATATTAAATTAATTAGGAAATTGTAATCGTAATCTCAAAATTTATATTGAACTTATCAAGAACTTCTCTTATTGAAGGTAAGAAGAGTTCTTTTCTTTGAAAAATGTATCAACAAAAACAATAAATTATAAAAAAAAATAACTTAGCCAATTTGTTTCTATGGGAACCTTGGAGGTCAAACTCAGAATAATATTTTCTTCGTGACAGGTGATGGTTGGCTTCAGGATTGAGAACCAATTTTTCTCTTCACTAGTGATGATGGTTTCTACCAGAAACGGAACCAATTGCTTTACTTGATCAGGAGCGAATTTAATCGTTTCTTCGAAATTATTGAACAGGAACGGATATTCTTCTTTAATAGGAACAGGATGAATTGTTTTTTCAGAGTTGAACAGGAACGGATATAATTTTTTAACTCGTTGACACGTTGATTTAATTTTCAGCAGAGCAAAAAAAAATGTGTGTGTTTCTTTAGACAACAGGAAGCACACTCTTTCTGTTGATAAATTCCTTTTTTCGGATGTTAAATTTCCAAATAACCTCTCCTGATTGGTTAAATTTATGGATTTGGAATTTGTGTCTTAGTTTTTTTCAATGTAGCCAACTTTGACATTTGAAATGTCTCTAATTCAATTTGTCAAATTATTATTTAAATTTTTAAAATTATTTATAATTATGCGTAATATTTCGTAATTTTGATGCTCTTTTAAAACAATTTTCAAATATCCATTCATTTTCTTCTGCTCTCAACGATAAATTTTCCAATATGTTCAAATTAATTTTGTAAATTTTCATCCAAATTTCATTATTCCATACAAATATTAATTATTTTCTTTGTTAACCAAGTTAAGTTTATCGTTCTAAATAGGTTTGATCCGGGTAGATAAAGATTTAAATAAATAATTTTGAAAAATTTAAATTGAGGTTATCTAATATCGAATCTTTAAAATTACTTCGCGTCGACTTTACAAGTGATAATTTAGGATTAGAACATTAAAGAACAATAAAATGTACCGAAATTCACTAGCGTATAGTATCTAACATTATTTTATAATTGTTTAAAAAAAACTCTTCTACGATCAATACGATAATCAAACAAGACTAAACTACTGGTAATCGGTTATTATTACAGTATATTAACAAATCAAAAAAAATCTGTTGTTCCGCAGTATTACTTTAATTATTTCATCTATAATTTCTTGTGTGTGGAGGTTTTCTTTTATTATTTTATTATAAAATCATTACACCACTCCCTCCTTTAACCATTTATTTCTAAATCATTACAAACGACGTTTCGGGATAATTCCCATCATCAGGTTGAAGAAAGTTTTTGGTAACAGTCCTATTCTACATATTGTGGTTTAGGTGTAATAAATGTTTTCATTGTAAAATAATTGTAGTTACGTAAATCATTGAATTGTTGTTTCTTTAGATGACAAAAATTATTAAACCTGATGATGGGAATAGTCCCGAAACGTCGTTTGTAATGATTTAGAAATAAATAGTTAAAGGAGGGAATGGTGTAATGATTTTATAATAAAATTAATTACTTCAATAATTTGTAATTTAAGAAGATGTGTTATGGTTTATTTTTGTACGTTTCTAAGGTAAGTAATTACCAAAAAACAATAAAAATTAAGTTATAAAACGAAATATTATATAGTTTTGATTTGATTTGTGCTATAATTTTGTCTCTTAACTTCAACCACATTTATATTATGAAATCGTTACAAACAAAGATACTTGGAAAAATCCGCATACATTTTGGTTTTATTACATACACGTAAGCAGTAAACTTTAAAACCGTTCTCCTGCAAAATATCAATTTTTGAGATATGTCACTTTTCTTGTGTGCCGACGATATAATCTACATATTATCCAATTAAAACTGTAAATTTTGGATTTTTCGTAATTATAAATCTTGAGATTTTACGGAAATCATGCAATAAATGAAAAACAATATCGGCTTCACTTTATTACTTAAAATTTATTATCATATCAAAAATATCAATAACCTTTTTAGTTTATAAGTTATAACCTATTACTATCTTTAAAAAATCATAACTAATTTATAGTTGAATATTGCGTAATAATTTTTACATCACATTGTAGCTAAAACCATTTTATATCAGATGATTCATTCATTACGTATTAAAATTTCTTCTAAATCTCAAAAGAAACGTTGTAATTTTTATAAGTTAACAAAAAATTGACAATTTTTAAGCATCGTGCTCGGTGTAGTGTTAAATGTCGAGAAACCATTTTTATATCAAATTAAACCTAGCGGCGTCCTCTTTAAAATTACGTGTAATAGCTTATTTCAGCGATGGAGAGAAATTTCTCAAGGATGTCCTGTAGTCGTAATATTTCCCGAAAAATTACAACATTATTTTTTATAATCCCCGATTACGGTTCGCTTTTGTATCTTTTAGATGTTGTGATACGGACAAATCAAAATCTATATTTTTGCTTTTGTTGGTTCTGGGCCTTTAAGCGACGCGGTAAAAGACTTTGAAGAGACCTTCTAGATTTTAATGTTCCCTTTTTGCAATTTCGACTTTTACGAAATACTTGCTCCATAACAACACGACAGGGTACGTAAACTTTGGGAAGTTTATTAACCCTTACCTGAAGTGGCTATCACGGACTTTTTGTGGATTACGGTTCTTGTGGGAATAAGATAATAACGATTTAAAGATTTTGATTTAGGAAATTTCGGTTTATACCTTTAACTAAAATTACTTTCATAAAGTTCTTTCAATTCCAGAACAGTTATGAAATAAGAAAAATGATTAAAAGATTTTGATACGCGTATAGTAGTTATTTTGTCACATTACAAACCTAGAATAGTTGCTGATACAAAAAAAAATCGATTAAAGATTACTTAAAAGCTTTTCTTGGGATGAAATAATAGCTTATTTATAAATTCAATTAACCTCAATCCTAGCAGAGAGATAATTACTTGGATGTTTCATTAACGTTTCGAGACTTGTTGAGTGAATGACTCGACGACGGTGGCAATAGATTGGCTCCAGCTCGGCCATCAATTACACTAGATTTATTCGATAATCGTAATCGGTGCAACGAGATTTATCGTAGGGCTTCGAGATTAATCCACCTCGTTGGATGGCCCTCAATTAGTCGACAAAGAAGGACCGTAATCAGCTAATTACAGCAAGTTACCCGAACGGTAATCACTTTTCCAGGCAATAAACCTAAAAATATTACTCACCGGTGGAGATGTCAGCACACCAATTGCAGAACTCAATGTCTTGAGATTTAATGTATTCTTCTTGTCCTCCTCGTCGACATCATCCCCAGGTGGTATTTGTATCGAAGATTGTCGCGTCGTCAATGATCTTTTTAACCCGGCACTTGAAGTGTTCGAAGTTGTCCTTCTAAAAGGACAAGAAGCCATAGTTTTTTATCTATTTTAATTAATTTTAATTTATTTTATCTATTTTTTTTATTTTAACTAAAAATTTAAAAACTACGTTTTAATTTATCTAGCTTTATTTCAAAAATTTTTAAACCAATTTTTTTCGCGATCGCGTAAGAACTTATCAATGTTTGCAACTCTCTGTGGATACGGTCGTTTCAGCGTTTCAGTTGGTACTGAAAGGCGTCGATGCCGGCGAATTGGCGCGTATTGTGTGACTGAGCCGAGGCGTCGCGACGCCAGCGCACTGAAAGTCTCGGCGGCGTCGGTGGCCGACTAACTGGGGGATATGAGGGGATGGGGAGACATCGCGAAGAGGAGCACAGAGTTCGGTGGGGCTCGAACTAAACTGTATGCGAATGCCACCATCGACACGTATTGATGGGCCCCCGAATGCAACCCAGATATTTCCTGCCATCGTTTTCAAAAGGATACGATTTGGGTCAGCAGTTGTACGTAGAATTCGAGTTAATAACTGGTTTCTTTTTTAAATGCTGTTTTATTCACACTTTGTTGTTCACTGATTTTTATTTTGATTTAATGTTGTTTCTGCTGCTGTAATTATGACTAACTAGCTACACCCATTTCGTAATGTAACTAATTACTTTGCTAAATTATTAATATCACTGAAAAAGCATCGTTAATCATTAATGTATGTAAACGTTCATTTAACATTCAATAATTATATTTGAACTATTAAACTTTAATGACAGATATTACCATGTTGGTCATTTCAAAAATCGCACATTGACCTATCCAAATTTTTAAAAATGATGTACAGCCTGAATTTATTATTATTATTAACAAACCAAAACTCTTCTCGATAAAGGAAATTTGAAATATAAATGTAATTTACATGGAATCGCTGAATCGGAATAAAAAGTATACTCGAGAAAAAGAACGAGAAACGGAAAAGCGGAATGTAAGTGGAAGTGAAACTCAGACCGACAGCGAGAACCAAAGGGAGCTTAGGAAAAAAGAAAGGAAAGTGGAACAAATTTTACTCGAAAGATAGTCTTTGCAATTCAACCCTTTTGCAAGAAATAACAAGTAGAATTCTACCCCCTAATAGTTACATCGAAGGCCTACAACGATGGATGACGACAATAAATCTCTACTCACGGACAGGGACATCGTGAGCAATCTGCATTCTATCCCTAATGACGAACCGGAGACAGTACACGACATAGTCAAGCCGTTTAAAGTGGGTAATAAAACGTCCATGTATCAACGAAAAGTGACATTCTCGATAAATGAAAGAGAGACGAGGGAACCAAAATTTACGTAATGAAAATGAATGTTGTGATGAAATGCGAAGACTATATATTTGTGGATACAAAAACTAGATAATCTGAGTTTGAAGAAACGCTAAAGGTACTGCTATTACCTCTAGAAGAATTATAAAAATGGCCGTGTCTTGTTGACGCGTTTAGAGTCACTTTCACATTTATAGTCTTTTGTTTAGTTATTTGGCAGCTTTTGCAGTGAAAGTTTTTTATAAGTTGTCCTTTTCATTAAGAGTACCACTAGGAGTGTTACCGGTCACCGTAAGCTTCTTAAGCAGTGGATTTCCGATTTGTTCGGGGATACAAAGTTTCGTGATGAATTAGCTAAAAAAGTTGCCGACAAGGTGGACGCTATGCTAAGAAAGTGGAAAAAGGGACATGAAAGTAACGTTGTGGCCGCACGTGAAAAAAACCGATCTCTGCGTGTGGAAACTGTGTCTAACAATAAATGTTTCGATATCCTAAATCAAAAATGTGATGATCTAGAACAATACTCTTTAGAAGAAATTGCATACGTATTAACGGCCTTAAATGTGGTAAAGAAAATTCTAGCGTTCTGTGCAAGAGGAAACAGAAGAATGGCAAGAGATACGTGTGGACGAATTACCACTTCATATACAGTTTTTAGGGTCAGAATCATACAAAATTGATGACATTGATACACAAAGCTGCCATGCAGATATACCGGAAGTTTTTTGACGCGGAAGTTTTGAGTGTTATTGTTCGCGAAACAAATAAAAATGCTGCAACTACTATTCAAAACAATCGACCAAGTCACTCGGAGAAATCAATAAATAGGTGGATACCAATGAAGATGAAATGTGGAAGTTTGTTGCTGTCCTTCTTTATATGGGATTTGTAAAGTATCCTAAAATAATTGATTATTGGTCCACCAGCATTTTATAGAAAAATTGTATCATTCCAAAAGTAATGAGCAGAAATAGATTTCAACTATTGCTGAGATTCGTTAATTTTGCTGATAATTCGACGGCTGACAAAAGTGATAGGTTATACAAAGTTAGAAATCTAATTGACATGATGAATTAACGATTCAATGTCGAATACGTGCATGGAAAAATGATAGCTGTTGATGAAACAATGATTAATTTTCGTGGCCGATTATTATTCAGACAGTACGTTCCCAACAAAAGCTACAAGTACGGAGTGAAAATGTTCAAGTTGTGCAATCCAATTGGTTATACATTGAGCATGTCACTATATTCTGGACAAACAGTTACTGGACTGCAGTCTGCTGGACTTGCTGAAAGAATAGTTATGGAATTTGCAGAGCCATATTTATCTGAAGGAAGGCTTATAGTAGTGGATAACTTTTATACATCAGTGCCATTGGCAATTTCACTTTTACAGAGAGATACCTATTTATTAGGTACCGTAAGGAAGAACAGGAAGTACGTACCAAAGGATATCATGACAAAAAAACTAAAAAAAGGAGCAGTGGTTGGTAAACAAAATTCGAAAGGAATTGTTGTTGAAAAATGGAAGGACAAACACGATGTTTACTTCCTAAGCACAAAACATACTTTGACAAAGATGACAACCGGACGAAAAAACAGGTTGGGAGAGGAAGTTTGTAAGCCAGTTGGTGTTTTAGAATATAACAAGGGCAAGCAAGGGATAGACCTTTCAGACCAAATGTCAAGTTATGCTACGCCCTTGAGAAAAACCGTCAGATGGTATCACAAAGTAGCTTTTGAGATTCTATTGAATACTGCTATAGTGAATGCGCTTTTCATTTATAATTATTTTCACAAAAGGAAAATTCATATTGCTTCATTCAGGGAGATGCTTGTGCTTGAGATGCTAGGTATTGAAAAGAATGACGTTACACCAAAACGTTCAGATTCCCTGAAGCACAGCTTAGTGCAAAGTGAAGAAAAGGATAACAACGATCGGCGAAAAAGAAGAAGATGTACAAATTGTTACGCAGAAGCTGCAAAAGAAGGACGTTCAGTGGCACAAAAACAATTAAAATTAGTTTCCACAAGATGTCATGTTTGTGACAAGTATATGTGTCTTCCATGTTTTACAAAACATCATTGAAAATAAAGATAATTTTTGTAAGTCAAGATCTCATTGCCCTTGAATAATCCTGGTGATCCTCATGGCACTAAAGTAAAACAGTTGTTACTGCAGTGTCATGAGGATCACCGGTGAACTCACATTATTTTTGCTTTCTACCCTCATACGTACCATTTACATGTAAAAAAGATGTCGTTTTTCAAAAAAGAAACTCTAGTGTACCATTTCTTTTACAGTGGCCCCTAGGGAATTACTTAATTGGTTGTATGGTAGCAGCTGACGTGTTAAGAACAAAATGAATATTGTATTGCCCGAACGCAGTATCCATAGATGTCATCCCGTTGGTTCACCTAAGGAAGGAACTCGTAGTGTAATAGTAAAATTTACTTGCTACGAACATCGGTCGTTAGTGATGTCAAGTCGTCGAACGTTTTGTGGCGCTGGTTATTTTATAAGTGAAGATCTTACGAAAATACATTACAATTTGCTTAGGGATGTACAAAACAGTGTTGGTCGTGATTAGGCGTGATCAATGGATGGAAAAATTTTTGTGAAATTAAATAATCGTAAGTACCTTGTTAAATGTATGAACGATGTCAATAAACGTCTGTAGTGAATGTAACTGTACTTATGTGGGAATAATGTACCTTAATTGTTGACTGCTCTATTGTTATTAAAATTTTTGTTATTGTTGTTTTATATTTTGTAACTAATTTTTTTTTCTTGCTTTATATTTTATAAATTATATGGTAGTTATTTTACTTGTATGTTTACTATTCATTGATATTAATTTTGATTATTGTTGTTTATTAATTTGATTTTTTTTGTTTGTTGTTTTTTTTCTTTCACATTATATTTTATAATATGCCAATTGCTTGAGTATTGTGTTAGTGTAAACTAGGGTGCGAGTTGATTCAATTCTTGTTGACAATCTGAATTCTTAGAACTTGTAGCTTCTTTTACGAGTACATACATAAGCTTCTTCGTCTTTCTCTGCTGTGAGTNACAAAGCTGCCATGCAGATATACCGGAAGTTTTTTGACGCAGAAGTTTTGAGTGTTATTGTTCGCGTAACAAATAAAAATGCTGCAACTACTATTCAAAACAGTCGACCAAGTCACTCGGGAATTACTTAATTGGTTGTATGGTAGCAGCTGACGTGTTAAGAACAAAATGAATATTGTGTTGCCCGAACGCAGTATCCATAGATGTCATCCCGTTGGTTCACCTAAGGAAGGGACTCGTGGTGTAATAGTAAAATTTACTTGCTACGAACATCGGTCGTTAGTGATGTCAAGTCGTCGAACGTTTTGTGGCGCTGGTTATTTTATAAGTGAAGATCTTACGAAAATACATTACAATTTGCTTAGGGATGTACAAAACAGTGTTGGTCGTGATTAGGCGTGATCAATGGATGGAAAAATTTTTGTGAAATTAAATAATCGTAAGTACCTTGTTAAATGTATGAACGATGTCAATAAACGTCTGCAGTAAATGTAACTGTACTTATGTGGGAATAATGTAACTTAATTGTTGACTGCTTTATTGTTATTAAAATTTTTGTTATTGTTGTTTTATATTTTGTAACTAATTTTTTTTTCTTGCTTTATATTTTATAAATTATATGGTAGTTATTTTACTTGTATGTTTACTATTCATTGATATTAATTTTGATTATTGTTGTTTATT